CATTTAAATAAAAAAAATTACAACAATTTTTTTTTTTCGAAAATAATTTTCGTCATTATATGTATTAATGTTACGAATTTTAGATATATCTAATTTATCATCACAAACAAACTATATAATGACGATTTTTTCGTAAGCGTCATATTAAATAAAATAAAAACACAACAATTTGTTTTCGTCATACTAACTTTTGTCATAATACATATTAATGTAGCGAATTTAGATGTATTATAATGCATCTTCAAAAAGCAAAGTTATATAATGACGAATTATACGTGATCGTCATTTAAAATATATAAAAAAAACAACGTTTTTTTTCGTCACAGTGACTTTTGTCACAATATGTATTAATGTGACGAATTTAAGCACATTATAACGTATCGTCACAAAAGAAAGTTATTTAGTGACGAATTATAGGTAAGTGTCATTTTAAATACAATAAAAACACAACGATTTGATTCATCACAGTGGCTTTCGTCATAATAAGTATTAATGTGACGAATTTAGATGTATTATAATTTATCGTCACAATAAATAATTATATAATGACAAATTAGTCGTAAGCGTCATTTTAAATAACAACAACATTGACGACATTTTGTTTGTCACATTTAATTTCGTCACATTTTATATACACATGACGAATTTAGATGTATAGGTGACGAATTGAGGTGCATTGTCGTGAAAAATACCATTATGTGACGAAAAATAAATTCTAAGATGACGGATGTAGTAATTGTCGCCATATGCAATGATATAATGACGATTTTTTAAATTCGTCACCATAAGTCAACATATAGTGACGATTTATTTTTCGTCACATGAATTTCGTCACTTTTTGGCAGATTTCTTGTAGTGATCCTTGCTCGGACCGGTGACGACTCTATTCGCCCTCGCCTTCACGGTGAAGTTGTTCGCCTGAACGTGGCCGCTGGTGCCGGCGCCCCGTTGGGTCTGCAACCCTATTCCGTTATACATCGTTGGGGCTACAAAAAATCTGTCAAATTTCAATGATTGCGCATATCACAAGAGAAAAAAAA